ACATACACGATGGCTGAATTAGAGCAGGCTGGATTTCCCTACCGCATTTTTTCTTTGACAAGGCTGTGAAAACTGCTATCTCACCATCTAAGGGAATCAAACAGGCTGCTAAAAATAACTCTGCAAGTTTGTGTGGCAAACGGGAAACACCTCTCCCCATTCCTGCCTGTTGCTCTGATGAAGCTTAATCCTTAGACTTGTTTTCAGGTATTTGCAGTGGTTTGTGTTCTTTTCTTCTTCCCAGGCTGTTTTTCTCTATTTGCCTGGGTTATTTGAACAGGTGGCTTTGCACAACCTAATGCTAATGTGGGGCTTTTGTGGGCTTTGAGATTGCACAGGGAGTCGTTTAGGGGGGAAATGTTTCTTTCTTGCTAAGCGATTCACACCTGTTCAGATAACCACCCTGGATTAACCAAGAAGACACGCCAGGGCGGTCTTCGCGGGCTGGACTCTTGCTCGGCAAAGCAGAGGCCCTGCTGACCGCAAGGCGGCACGAATCCCGAATCCCGCGGCTCCTCTGCTCCGCACGCTGCTCCTCTGCCCGGGCCGCCGTCGCGTGGCTGCGGATGGGGCGCCCCCCCGCCCCGCCCCGCCCCGCCCCGGCAGTGCCCGGACGTGAGTGGGCAGCAGGCATCCCCGCTGCGAGGGCGTTGGGGAGCCCTCCCCGGGCCTGGCCAGTGTCGCGGGGCAGCTGGGCGCCCGCGGCCTCTGGGGGGCGCCCGCGGCCTCTGGGGGCCGCCGCAGCGCACCGAGGCCGCCGGTCCCTCCGCGCCCCCGCCCCCCGCCCCCCGCCCCCCGCGGGAGCCCCGGGCGCGGGCCCGCAGCCGCGCTTGGCGGGCGATCACAGGCGGGCGGCCCGGGACGCTCGCGCGCGCTCCCCGGGACACTGGCCGCGGATCACAGGGGCCGCCTGCCGCCTGGAACGCGATCACAGGCCGCGCCTCCGGGCCCCGCGGCGGGGCGGCCGCGGGCGCGTTCCCACGGGGAGATCCTGGGCTGGGCGAGGGCGAGGGCGAGGGCGAGGGCTCCCCCGGACCTCCCATGCCCGGCTCTGGGGCGAGGGCGAGGCCGGTGCTGCGCGGCCCCGAAGGCTGCGGGAGGCGCGCCCCGGTCACCCGGCCGGCCACAGCCCCCTGCTCGGGGCGCGCTGCGGAGGGGCTTTTCCGAATGGTTTCCGCGGAGTCTGCACTCCTAGTTCCCTGGCCCCAAGAAAAGAAAGAATGACGTGCGTGCGCAATAGGCAGGCAGGCTCGGATGCGGCTTAAAGGGATGCGATCCTGCCCCTGAACCCCGCTGCGAGGAGGCCCAGGTGATACGTCTAGCCCCACCCCCACCCCACCCCCACCCCCACCCCAGGCCTGGACGCTGTAGGCAGGCTCTCGGGCTGCCTTCCCTGCCTTCCGCGTGCGTGTGCGTGTGCGTGTGTGTGTGTGTGTGTGTGTGTGTGCTGGGGGCCGTCAGGTCCGTTACCCCTACAGGACACACAGGAAAGCCGGCGTCGGGTGTCTGAAGGTAGGGGTTTCCCATTCGATGGACAAAGGTCACCCGGGACTGTTGGGAGGTAATCACTGGATGCGCATGATCACCAAGCATCACCTGTAAACGAAACCAAATGGAATGTCTGCAGCACAGGTAGTGCTATTTTTCACATTTACAGAGCGGATGGGACTAATTAAAGAATTATTTTAAAGTGCTACTGAATTCAGGGCAGCACGCCTCCAGGGGCATTTGCCCCATCAACAGAGCCCCCCCCCCCCCCCCCCCGTGCCACTGTAATTGTGTTGCTCGGTTTCATTGTGGTTACCTTCTTGGTGTCCAGCCACACCGCCCCCAGTGAGTGAAAGCCTCTTCTAGCTCTTGCGGCATGGCCAAAGCCAATGGTTCACCCACCGGGCTACAGGTTAGAGGCACCTGGGAAGCTTCTCTGATGCCTCGCAACTCCTGTAACAATCCAGTCGGAATCTCTGGAGTGTGGGTTGATTGTGGAGTGGCGTTTGAGAATCACGGGTGCAAACCTTTGGAGGACTCCCATCCCATTGTGTCCATTGACACAATGATGGGGTCACAGATGGGCAGCGGCCGCGTGAGGCCTAAGCCAATGAGTGGGTGATAAGGTGGGTGGCAAGGAGGAAATATGGGGAACCAGAAAAGACATCAGCAAAAACACAGAGTATGAAATGCACTGTATGCAAGAAATTGGAAGAGATTCAGAAGCCAGAACCACGGAGTGTACCTTATGGAAGGTGGTCGATGGTGAGGCTGGAAGCCGTGTTTAAGAGTTTACTATTAAGAGTTCTAGCTAGCATAGCATATGAATTTATTTTACAGGAGGAAGGAGAACAAAAATGATTTTTGAGCCTAAAATTTACATGACAGATTTCATCCTTGGGAAAAGAGTTTTGGTGTCGCTATGGAGTGGGGATCTAAATGGAGAGAGATGAGAGCCCGTGAACTAATCAGATGGGTGCAGCGGCTGGGGAAGAAATGTGTAGGGCTGGGGAGTTATAAGACATGCCAAAAACAACGGGTTCCCTTGCTACACAAAGGAATGTGATCTTGGTATAGAATTCTTCTCTTCACAGAGGCTAATAATGTTTTCTAAGGCAGAGGCACAGAAGGAGGGACAGAAATTTTCCAAACTTTGTTAAATCTACAGGACAACATGAAAAATTATAACCCATTGGCAGATCATACCAGGAGCTCAAAAAAATTTCCAATTAAATGCAAGACATTTCATTTATATGCTTTGTAAAAGTGGATTTATTAAGGTAAACTTTATGTGACATAAAATTCACCAATTTTAAATGTGTAGTTTCACGGGTTTTGAAATGTATGTAGTCATGTAACCAAGACCATAATCAACACATTTAACATTTCCATCACCCCCAAAAGTCCTCTGTACCCCCTTGGAAGTCAAGCCCCTTCATATACCTCTGACTCTTGGAAACCACTGATCAGGTTTCTATCCCTACAGTGTTGCTTTTCTAGAATATCATACAAATGGAATCATACATCGTCTGGCCTTTGAACCTGGCTTCCTTCACTTAGCAGAATGCTTTTGAAAGGCATCCACGATATTGCACCTATTGGTAGCTAGTTCTTCCTTATGGCTGGGTAATATTCCACTGTATGGACCTGTCACCATGTGTTTAGTCATTCACCAGTTGATGGACGTCTGGGTTGTGTAGTGGGTTCAAGATACATCTGCATCCTATTCCCCAGAATCTGTGAAAACTACCTCACATGGCCAAAGATGGGAATGAAGTTAAGGATCAAGGGGAGGACTTTGTCCTGGGTTATCTGGGTGGGCTCTAAGTACCATCTCCTGTGTCCTCATGACAGAGAGGCAGAGGAAGTTTAGAGATAGACCTGTGGAAGAGACCAGAGAGAGACGCAGCCACAAGCCAGTGAATGCCAGTAGCCACCAGAAGCCAGAAGAGGAAAGATTCTCTGAGAGAGCCTCCAGAGGGACAGCCCTCCTGTCTGCACCTTGATTTTGGATTTCTGGCCTCCAGATATGTAAGAGAAGAAAGTTCTGTCACGTTAAGCAATGCATGAGAATTCCAGCTTCTCCACATTCTCACCAACACCTAGTAGTGTCACTTTTTTTAAATACAAGTCTAGACTTGAGGTCTAGCATATAGTAATGTCAATTTTAAAAAATCTAGCCATTCTAAGGGGCCTGTGGTAGTGTCTCATTTGGTTTTAATTTGCATGTTTTTCCTGGCTAGCGATGTTGAACATCTTTGCATCTATTTATCTCTTTGGTGGGAGATCTGTTCAAATCTTTTGCTCATTTTTTTTGTTTTTTGTTTTTGTTTTCTTGTTTGTTTTTAAGTAGGCTCCATGCCCTGTGTAGAGCCCAACACAGGCCTCGAACTCATTACCATGAGATCAAGACCTGAGCCGAGATCAAGAGTCAGGCGTTTAACCGACTGAACCACCCAGGTGCCCGTCTTTTGCTTGATTTTTACTGAATTGTCTTTTTATTATTGATAATTTATATGCCTTTAATATACACTATACAGACAATAACATACACAGATACAACTTTATATTACTGAACAACTAACTATATAACAAACTACGGAAAGAATAAAATAAACATCTTCCAGTCTATACTTTGTATTATATTATACTGAATAGACTTTTAATGAACTCTATTTTATGTCTCTTTATTGGGTATTAACATTTGGAACAATGGGACTGAGTCAGAACTTCCTATCGGGTGCAACATCAAGTCAATTCATTTATTTTGTTTTTGTTGGAGCACAGAGGGTGTTGTAGCAAAGGGAAGGAGAACACAAATTGCATGTTTTGCAATATTTGGGTATCTTTGCAATGGGCTGCTCCAAAAATCATTAATTATTTCATCTTGGAGAGCTCACCTTCCAGTTTTTCAAGATCCAGAGGCTTGAAATTAGTCACCTTCACTCTGAGCTGTTCAACTTCTTGTTCAGAGCCCGAAGATCGGCTTTTTGTTAAAACTGCCATCTCTCAAAACAAAAACAAAAACAAAAACAAAAAACAAGAAAAAAAAAAACCAAAACCAAAAAAACTGCCATCTCTCAGATGCATCTATGAGAAAAGTTGAGTTATATAAATGTTCTGACATATAATGAGCATTGAATACTGTCACAAATATGTGCTGAGATTATCGGATTCCTACTAGGCTGCTTAATTATTGAATAGACAGCATGCTGCAGTGAATAAGCAAAAGTGCCCGTAGACCCACAGGCATCATAATGTGCTTCAGGTGACCTTGCTTTCTGGTCTCCCCAGGTGTGTTGTGTCATTTTAAAAAGTAGATTATTGGGGTACCTGGGTGGCTCAGTGGTTGAGTGTCTGCCTTTGGCTCAGGGTGAGATGCCGGGGTCGTGGGATCTAGTCCCGCACTGGGTTCCTGGTGAGGAGCCTGCTTCTTCCTCTGCCTATGTCTCTGCCTCTCTCTCTCTCTCTCTCTCTGTGTGTGTGTCTTTTATGAATAAATACATAAAATCTTTAGAAAAATAAAAAAAATTAAAAATAAATAGTGCACATCAGCACAGGTATGAAGTATGAACCCTACGCTTAAGTAGAGTTGTGCAGTCCTGGAGGGAGAAAAGCTGGTTCCATGCCCTCACCTTCCATGAATGGTCTGTACATGACCTCCTCAGATCCAAACAAAAAGGAACACTTGGGGATCCCCATCCAGGAGATGTGGCCCTCTCGAGGCCGTGTTGGTTGGCTGGCACTGTGGATCCTTTTCTGGGCTTCACTGGGACTTCCTGAAGGGAGGCCAAAGCAGCAGGTAGCTCGCTCTTCTCTTCCATTTCCCAGCTTTAGGAACAGGAAAATCCCCACTGGTCACAAAAAAGGCTGGAAAACCCCTGGTCTGGATAAATTTAAGGGCATTCATTTCAATCTTCTGATTCAGTTTTACATACCACATAACTCTCAATACAGGTGACATTTTGGTTAGAGAAGAGAGGGAGAGAAAAGGGAAAGAAATACAGAAATATTAATAAAGACATCAGAGAGATAAAAACAAAATGACTTTGCTCCATGGTTCTGTCTCCCCTTTCTCTTATCTCCCTTCTTCTGTGGGAAGCAGCACTCTAAGATGTTCCCCAAATTCCTGGCCCCTGGTGTAAACACATATTTTCCTAGTTAGTCAATGAAACACCAATCTAGGTATTGCTGTGAGGGGATTTTGCAGATGTAATTAATCCCAAATCAGTTGACTTTAAGGTAGGGAGATTAATAGGTTGGCCCGACCTCAGCGTCTGGAAGTCAGAAAGAGAGAAGTCAGAAGAAATGGAGGCATGACAGACGACCTGAGCCGAAGGCAGACGTTCAACCGATGAGCCACCCAGGTGCCCCAGTCTCTGTCTCTTTCTGTATCTCATCTGTGTTTTTGTCAATAACCCTTGCCTGGAAGATCAGAAGTTTTACAATTAGTTAATCCCTAAATTTGTTACCTTTTCGGAAATTGGTTTAAAAAGCTTAAAATCCACATTGTTATTTTGCGACTTTAGTTATGATTTTGGGGGCCTCCAATTTTGCCTTGATATTAGGAGGACATAAAACCAAATTCCTCTCTCCATTCTTATTTTAGCTCTCCTTCCTGTCCACTAAATAGCCCTTAATGGCAAATTTATCAAAGTCTAGGATAATTTGATTTGGCTACTCAGTGGGACACAGCATATTATTTCAGCTACTGTGGAAAAGGACAAGTGGCCATGAAATGAGGGAAAGTGGCCTGTTTCCAGTGGCTAGCAAACCACAGAGAGGAAGTGCTACTTACTTTTACAAGCCACTTTGTAGGAACGCTTTTATGTGGGAAATAGTATGACAGAAAATCAAGTACAAGCTGTGACTTTGATTAAAACTATTTTAGCATGGACACACCTGTTCTGTGACCATGAGCAAATTACTCAGATTTAGTTAACATTGGATTATAACCTTAATTTCTAGGGTTGTTGTGGTGATTAAATAGGATCATGTGTGGGTATGCCTGAGTGGCTCAGTGGTTGAGCATCTGCCTTTGGCTCAGGTCGTGATCCCCAAGTCCTGGGATCAAGTCCCCTATCAGGCTTCCCTTAGGGAGCCGGCTTCTCCCTCTGCCTGTGTCTCTGCCTCTCTGTCTCTGTGTCTCTCGTGAATAAGTAAATACAATCTTAAAAAAAATGTATAGCCTACAGTATTTGCTCAATAAATGATAGATTATCAAAGTTTAGACATTTTAAAGCTATTTATATATTGTCCTCAGCCTTATTGGCTTATCACCATCACCTTTGGAACTTGAAGGATCTGAACAGTTTCTCAGATCTCCTGCATCTGAATCCCCAAGTGCGTGGCCCAGGCATCTTGACTTTTTAAGGGCTGCTCAGGTCAAAACCATTTTGTCGGTGGTGCTATTTATAGGCTAGCCCACCAGCACTACATTTTCTGATGAGACAGAGCTCTGTTGGCAAAAGGAGGAACTGGAAATGATTCTGATCCCAGGAGTTTAATTTTCTTTTTGTACTGGGGTTGAGAGCTAGTCATGATAAAGAAACCAGGTTTCTTGGAAATATGGCTGATTCTAGGGCTGGGGCAGGGAATGTACAACATGAGCCTGAAGCATCTGGAAATAGCAAGAAAGTAAGGAAATGCTCAAAAACAAAGCAATGGGGCCATGTAGAAGAGACACAAGAGCCAAACTGGAGGAGCTCTCAATGGCCAAAACTGGAACAATTTGAATGATAATATAAATGTTGGATTTTAATCTAAAGTATAAAATAAATATCCTGGAATCTATATTGATATTAAAGAATAATTGAATGATTAATAGGGAGAAGAAGTAAATGTACCATACAGAAGAATCCCAGATAATTGATGTAGATATCGTCCCTTAAGGAGAGGGAGCTTAACTCTCCACTCTTTGAGTGTAGGCTGTGCTTAGTGATTAAATATAGTGGGGTGTCCTGAATGGGTCCTGGAGCAGGAAAGGGACATTAGAAAAAAATGTTGATTCCTTAGTTGTGACAAGTGTACCATAAGAAGGTAAGATTAAAATAGAGGGAACTGGGTCTGTGTGACTTTTCTGTAAGTCTAAAACAGTACTAAAGTAAAATGTTTATTTAAAAGTCACCTGGTAATGAGAATAAATGTGTTCATCATATAAAGCTGGAGGCTATAAGAAACTATAGCTGCCATGAGAAAAATCAGGCCATGGTCAACTAAATTTTAGCATCAGTTTGATGTAAAATACAAACTATTTTTTATTATTGTTTTATCAGAAGTTCTACCTTTTTAGAAACACAATCCAATTCAATGTTTATTTTACAGGAATTGGTTAGTTTTATCAATAAATACTTGTTAACTTTTACCATACATTGCTCAGTTTCTGGCCTCACGCCTTCATCTTGGGTTGATTTTTCTTCTTCTTCTTTCTTCTTCTTCTTCGATTTTATTTATTCACGAGAGACACAGAGAGAGGCAGAGACATAGAGGGAGAAGCAGGCTCCCTGTGGGGAACCTGATGTGGGACTCGAACCCAGGACTCCAGGATCATGCCCTGAGCCAAGGCAGACACTCAACCACTGAGCCACCCAGGTATCCCTATTTTTCTTCTTGTAAAGTATTTTATGTATATTCTTTTATTGAGGATGCTGGGGTAGTGTTATGAACTGAGTGCATGTGTTCCTCCAGAATTCATTGAAGCCCTAACTCCCAATGTGATGCTATCAGGAGGTGGGGCCACCTTTAGATGAGGGCTTGAGGAGTCCTCATGATGGGATTAGTGTCCATATAAGAAGAGACCAGGGAATTTCCTGTCTCTTCCTGCTGCGTGAGTCCATGGCAGGAAGAGGGCCATCTGCAAGCCAAGAAAGAGGGTACTTATCAGGAACTGAACCAGCTGGCTGCAGGGAGCCTGCTTCTCTCTCTGCTTGTGTCTGCCTCTCTCTCTTTCTCTCTCTCTCTCTCTCTGTGTGTGTGTGTGTGTGTGTCTCTCATGAATAAATAAATAAAATCTTAAAAAATTTTTTTAAAAAAAAGTAATCTCTGTACTTAACCCGGGCACAAACTCATGATCCCAAGATCAAGAGTCACGGGCTCTACTGACCAAGTCACTCAGGTGCCCCTCAGCTGGCATATTGATCTTGACCTTCCTAGCATCCAGAACTGTGAGAATAAGTGTTTTGTTTAAGCCACCTGGTTTATAGTATCTTGTTGTTGTAAACAAACGGATTTAAACAGGTAGTAAACTTTCTTAGTTATTGTATATCTGGGGGAAAGATAATTTTGCCCATCCCCTTCCCACCCCCACATCACCTCCACCAATGTTGATGATAATTCATCTAGGTATAAAATTATATATGGCAATTATTTCCCTTTATCATTTAGGAAATATATTTTTTTTAATTTTTATTTTTTATTTATGATAGGCACACAGTGAGAGAGAGAGGCAGAGACATAGGCAGAGGGAGAAGCAGGCTCCGTGCACCGGGAGCCCGACGTGGGATTCGATCCCGGATCTCCAGGATCGCGCCCTGGGCCAAAGGCAGGCGCCAAACCACTGCGCCACCCAGGGATCCCTCATTTAGGAAATATTACTTCGTCATTGTCATCTGGCATCTAGTCTGCTTGGTGAGAAGTCCACGTTAAGTTTAATTGCTTTTATTTGTGAGTAATCTGCCTCTTCTTCATCATAACTTTTGTGATTTTTATTTTTGATGATATATCATTGTTATGATATTTTAAATTTAATTTGCTATTGTTTTCATTATGAAAAGTGCCCTCCCTAATCCTCATTCCCTATTTCACCCATCTCCCCCACCCACCTCTCCTCTGGTAACCATCAGTTTGTTCTCTATAGTTAAGAGTCTGTTTCTTGGTTTGTCTGTTTCACTCTTTTTTCCCCTTATTTGTTTGCTTCTTAAATTCCACATATGAGTGAAATCATATGGCATTTGTCTTTCTCTGATTGACTTATTTCACTTAGCATTCTACCCTCTAGCTCCATCCATGTTCTTGCAAATGGCAAGATTTTATTCTTTTTTTATGGCTGAATAATATGCTAATATATATAAATATATTAATATATTGAGATATTAATAAGATATTATTAGATCTATTGATAGAATAATATGCTAATATATATTAATATATTGATATATGTATATATATATCAATCACATCTTCTTTTTTTTTTTAAATAAATTAATTTTTATTGGTGTTCAATTTACCAACATACAGAATAACACCCAGTGCTCATCCCGTTAAGTCTACCCCTCAGTGCCCGTCACCCATTCACCCCCACCCCCCGCCCTCCTCCCCCTCCACCACCCCTAGTTCATTTCCCAGAGTTAGAAGTCTTTATGTTCTGTCTCCCTTTCTGATATTTCCCACACATTTCTTCTCCCTTCCCTTATATTCCCTTTCACTATTATTCATATTCCCCAAATGAATGAGAACATACACTGTTTGTCCTTCTCCGGTTACTGTGGCCAAGTTCAAAAAGGGTGTTGCCTGAGTTCTCCTCTGGGATTTTGATGGAATCTTGTCTCACATTTAGATCTTTCATCTATTTTGAGTTTATCTTTGTGTATGGTGCAAGAGAGTGGTCCAGTTTCATTCTTCTGCATGTGGATGTCCAATTTTCCCAGCACCATTTATTGAAGAGAGTGTCTTTCTTCCAGTGGATCGTCTTTCCTCCTTTATCGTATATTAGTTGAGCATAAAGTTCAGGGTCCACTTCTGGGTTCTCTGTTCTGTTCCATTGATCTATATGTCTGTTTTTGTGCCAGTACCACACTGTCTTTCAATCACATCTTCTTTATCCATTCATCTATTGATAGATACTTAAGTTGTTTCCATAGTTTGACTACTGAAAATAATGATACAATAAATATAGGGCAGCATGTGTCCTTTTGAATTAGTCTTTTTAGATTTTTTGGTAAATACCCAGTAGGGCAAATACTGGATTGTAGGGTAGTTCTATTTTTAACTTTTTGAGTAAATGCCATACTGTTTTCCACAGTGGTTGCACTAAGTTTGCATCCCAAAAACAGTGAGAGTGTTCCTTTTTCTCCATATCCTCACCAACACTTGTTGTTTCTTGTGTTGTTGATTTTAGCCATTCTGACAGCTATAATATAATATCTCATTGTAGTTTTGATGTGCACTTCCCTGATGATGAGTGATGTTGAGCATCTTTTCATGTGCCTGTTGGTCATCTGTGTGCCTTCTTTGGAGAAATGTCTGTTCATGTCTTCTGCCCATTTTTAATTGAATTATTTGATTTTTGGGTGTTGAGTTGTATCCGTTCTTTATATATTTTGGATACTAACCCTTTATCAGATATGTCTTTTGCAAATATCTTCTCCCATTCAGCAGGTTGCCTTTTAGTTTTGATTGTTTCCTTTGCTGTGCAGAAACTTTTTATTTTGATGAGGTTCCAGCAGTTTAGTTTTGCTTTTATTTCTCTTGGCCTCAGGAGACATATATAGAAAAATGTTGCTATGGCTCATGTCGGAGAAAAATAACTGCCCATGCTCTCTTCATGGATTTTTGTGGTTTCAGGTCTCACATTTACATCTTTAATCTATTTTGAGTTTATTTTTCTGTATGGTGAAATAAAATGGCCCAGTTTCATGTTATGAAATTTTAAAATATGGATTCAAGTCAGTTGAAGTTAAAGTCACAGCGAGCAGTCTTCACAGTAGACCAACCACATCTTAAGATCTGTGAATGATTTTGATATCTGTGGTGGGGATTTTCCATTTGACACTTTCATTTTCATCCATTCTCTCTTCTTCTCTGTCCAGCTTGGAAAGAAGCACACTTGGGCCGCTTTGAGAGCTGACCTCCAGTTCGTTTGACTGATGGAAGACATCATCTGGAGACAGAGGGACCAGAAAGGCAGGAAATGGAGGAATAGCTTCCTTTTCCTGACCTTCTTCAGGGAAGCATGTCTGGTAGTACCTGTGTCCCCCATGATGATAGCTCTTCTTACCCACTCCAGCTCCACTGGGTGCAGACACTACCTTGTCCCCTGTACCAGCCATGTGGTTGTGACAGTTTTCCATTGTCATGGGATTGCCCAATCCCAGCATCTTTGTAGAATCTGCCTTTCTTATCATGGGGATATGGTGGGCTGGAAGCAAAGATTTTCTCCACCACCACAACCACCCCACTCCCTCATAGCTTTAACAATGTAAGATATATATTTTTTCATTTGTTCATTCATTTGCTCACTCATTCATTCATGAGCATGGTGCAAGGCACTGCTACAGACTCAGGGACAGACATAAAGCATGTCACACAGGCCCTATATATCTTATCCTCTTCTGTCTATCTTGTCGCTCCCTTCATACTAGCCAGTGTCCTGGTAACAGCATGGTGTCTGTTGTCTTCTTACCTTACTTTACTGATGATCCTTAACTGACACTTCTTATTTTAATGCTGTGCCTCTTTCTTTATTTAGTCAATTCTTTATAGCTTTCAAAATTCATTTAAGCAATATTTCTTCCTGGAAGCCTTCACTGATTCTCGTCTTCCTCATATTTCCCTGTTTCATGATTATTCTCAGAGTACTTGGTATAAAATGTACCAGATACTATGCTAGATGCCTTACATGGATTGTTTCATGAATCTTCAATACAACCACATGAAGGTGATATTATATCCCCACATCACAGATTAGGAAACAAAACCTGAGCTTATTTAATGCCAGGTTCAATTTCATAGAACCAGTAAGTAGTGGAGCTGGAATTCTAACCCAGGCAACATGACCTCAATGACCATTGTGTAAAACCTCTTCACATTTAGCAAAACTAACAATTTGTCACAAAATGTTTTTATACTTGTTTCCACCACACAGTTATAATCTAGGGACATTATTTTACTCATCCATGCTTTTCTGGTGACTACCACAGTGTTAGGGAGGGAATGAAATCAGTCTCAATCAAAAGCTGCAGAAAGACTCTGTATTCCCTAATGCTTATACTTGCTATGGAGAAATTTACAAGGTGGCGAGGGCTGGGAGTGGCTTACGTTCCAGAACCAACCTTTAAAAAGTTACAAATGTGGACACCTGGGTGGTTCAGTGGGTTAAGCATCTGCTTTCAGCTCTGGTCATAATCTCAGGGTGCTGGGATAGAGCCCCCCTGCATTGGGCTTCCTGTTCAGTGGGGAGCCTGCTTCTCCTTCTCTCTCTGCCTGGTGCTCCCCCTGCTTGTGCTCTCTGTCTGTCAAATAAATAAACAAACGAATGAATGAATGAATCTTTAAAATATAAAAGTTACAAATGCTAAAATATGCTCAAAGAACTTTCAACTTTTCCAATAAAACATTTTCTTTCCTTTGGATTTTTGCAGCAAAGCTAAAGTTGTACATGAAATAATATAAGAAATGACCAGTGCTTATACCATTACTTTTACATCTTATTATCCCCAGAACTAGACATTGAACATTTAGATAATCATGTAACATTTAATGGAATAGTAATCATGGTGATAGAATGAATGATGGGAAGGTGGAGTTTTGGGATCCTGGGCATCTTCATGAGTCCTGTCTTACTGATAAAAGACATTTTGGCACATTGGGGCCACATAGGTCTTTTGGAGTAGCCTCCTGTTTCTCATTCAAGGACAAGACATAGATATATATGGACATTTCTTATTATAATATATGAAGGACCTTTGGGTTACTTTAATTCTTTGTAGGGCATGGGCTTTAGTAGAATGTACACCTGGCTTTGAATTTCAGATCTACAGTTTACTAATGTGACTTTGAGCAAGTTACTTAGCTTCTGTGAGATATAGTTTCCTCATCTGTAAACTAGAGATATCCCCTAAATCTGTGACTATCAACTATCTGGTATGAATTAATATGGCCAGCCAGCTATTAGAAAATAGTTAAATTCTTCTGGATCAGTTTATTATGAGTCTCTCTGTCTCAAGCCCTCTGTGCTTTCCCACCACCCAGCTGTCCTGATCTCTCCCATAAGACCCCCCCTTCTCCAGAAGCCCTCCTGACCCAGTAAATAAGGGGTTAATGCTTGGCACAAGATGGATCTCTGGGATCCTGTTCCAAGTTGATGGGGGCCTTCCCACACTTGTTCTGATTCACAGGTGACTGTAAATATTTTGACTATCCTCCCACCTTCACAGGATTGTTGAGTAGATAAAATGTTTTACCATTTATAAAGCTCTTTGTACAGTTCCTAGCTCTTAGTAAATACACAAGGCATGGCATTTATAGTGGAGGTCTATTTTCTATTCTGGTCTGACATCCATTGCCTCTTCTTCTGGACAGACCATATTTTCACATTTTCCGTGCATAACCACCCAGGATAAGGGATAGCAATAGCATATGAACATGCCTGGCCAATCAGAACATTTCATCTCTCCTACCCACAATGATGGGCACAGAAATGGGGACACAACCCAAAGTGGGTTCAAGGAGTCTTGCTTAGCTTATACTCCTTAGAGCAACACATGAAGAGGAATTTGGAGTGGTTGCCAAGTATTCTCTAGAGTCTCTTCCAACTCTAAGAATTTATGTTAGAGAATACCCAGCTGATGTTAATAAGAGTCTTATTCAACATTCAGAAATGAGAGACAGGCTGCAGCCTGAGTAGTAGGAGTACCTGTTTCCAGCAAAGCCTGTGTGCGATTCTGAATTTTTCAGGAACATTAATGCATTTCCCATTCCCTTTTTTTTTGTTGTTGTTGTTGTTTAAATAAATATAAGTGGGTATTTTGACATTCACTGAAAGAGTCCTATAGCAGTGGCTTAAGATTATGATTATTTGGCAAATATAGAGTAAGTACCTACCCTGTGCCATTTTTCTGGTTTCTGTTTTCATCCTCTGTGAACCTTGGTTCTCTTCATCCACTCATCACATCTAGTGGCTGGCTTCATGGAAGATGAGGATGTTGATGCCTGTCCTTCGTGGATGCTTTGCTTCCTTTCAAGATTCCCAAAGAAAGATCTTCCTACTCTATTTTTTGTTACTTATTCAAGCTCCATTAATGAGTTAATGGTGTATCCTACATGGAGATTGTGAAGTCCCCTAAGGCAAAAGCCACATTTTATGAATATTTGTTGATCTCTGTAAGCAATGTGTTTCCCTCAAAAGAGTGAGTAATAGATGTTGGCTAACCCTCTTTAAAGTCACGTAAAGTGGAGAAATACCCATCATTTGTGATCAAGTAAGACTGTAACTACACTGATTTGCCCAGTTGACCAGTGACTTCTGGGCACTTCGAGCCTGATGCTTTAACAGTCATTCAGAACGCTTTGTAGATATCTGATTCAGTAATAAATTTGGCCAAAATCACTCATCTCTGAAATGTCACTTTCCTTGGCTTTTGGCTTTCCTAACAACTAAATCAGGTCAAGTAGGTAGCATTCCAGTTCTGCAATGGTCCAAATGACCCAAATCAACTGACTGTGGGAAATGTACTTATTATGTGACTAAATGGAAAATTATTATGTGTTCCCTTTTTTTTCAGGCCACACCCTCTACCCATTGAGCATTTGAGGACAGAGTAATAATGCAGACTCTCTTGGCAAGCCTCTACTTGTACTTTCTGGAACTGTTCTTCCCAACCATTCAGATAGGTGAGAACTGCCCTCTCGGCACATCCAGAGGGGAAATATTTTAAAATGTCTCTGATGAATCCTTTCTGGAAAAAATGAAGTTGCACAATTCTTTCAGAAAAGAGTGCCCTAGGGAGCTATTGTTTTTTAGGAGTCTACTCAAATTGCACTAGGGAATAACTTGTATGATTACCACACAGTATCCTCGGTCCATTTTTCTGTGCATCTAGGTAGAGAACAGATCCATGACTCATTTTTTATTCAGGACCTTTGTATATTCCACAGAAGGGCCCCCTCAGGGAGTCTTCTGTTTGATAAGACCCCAACTCAGACATCTGATTTGATGACAACTTATTCCTATCAGTTTAATATTCCGCAAAAGAGACTTCAGCTTGGAAAATACTCAGATTACTTGTCAACCACACCAAATTTCTTTTCCTATGTCTTCCTAACGTGTGTAGATCACACAGATAAAAGTAAATCTTAAGAGCAGTCTTGAGTAGCCCTTGGTTCTCTATGGAAAATATGCGAATAGACTCTTCTATCATACAAAAGAGCAAACCAGGGCAGCCCGGGTGGCTCAGCAGTTTAGAGCCCCCTTCAGTCCAGGGCCTGGTCCTGGACACCTGGGATCGAGTCCCACATCAGGCTCCCTGCATGGAGCCTGCTTCTCCCTCTGCCTCTCATGAATAAATGAATACATTTTTTTTTTAAAGAGCAAACCAAAAACATTACCCATAATAAGTTTTTTTTTTTTGTTTTTGCAGACAAATCTGAATACTGGCAATTTCTCAGCTGAAGTGTGTAAGGTGAGAAAAATCATAATGATATATCAAGTAAAAAAGAACCCAATAGAGTCAGAGTTAAAAGCACATGGGAACTGCACCAACAAATGCAGAACACAAAATAAGATATTCCACATGGACATTTGAAGCATATCAACATAGGTATCTAAATGCCTTAATTACTGTGTTCAAAGGAGCAAATACTAAGGTGTTACAATGGTCTCTCAAATATTTACTTTGGAGATAATTTTTCCATGCCAACTTTTAACCTTAGGCAGTTTTTTTTTAGAGGAAAAAAATCAGATGAAATCCACCCAGCCACTTCTAATTATGCAAAAGAAGAAAATAAGATGCCTTTCTTAATATAAAGAAGAAACATTGCAATCGACTCTGTGTTCCTTTGATGCAACTGATGTCTTTCATTCTGTCTTACTGTTTGAAGTTTTTGATGATGGAATTTTGATACGTAACTTTCTATATATAAAGGTCTACCAAATCTCTCTCTTGGGGTACCTGAGTGGCTCAGTTGGTTAAGCATCTGACTCTTGATCTCCGCTCAGGTCTTAATCTCAGGGTCATGAGTTCAAGACCCTTGTGGGGCCTACTTAAAAAGAAAAAAGAATCTCTTCAAGAAGCAGCTTGGTGATGGTTGACTCAAAGACTCAGAGAAAGTCTGCAGATCTACAGAATAAGCTCATTCATCCATTATTCATTCATTCCTATATAGAGAACTTAAATTTTTAAAAAAGATTTACTTATTTATTCATGAGAGACACACAGAGAGAGGCAGAGACATAGGCAGAGTGAGAAGCAGGCTCACTCGATCCCAGGATCCCCAGATCACGACCTGAGCCAACAGCAGACACTCAACCACTGAGCCACTCAGGTGCACCTAGAACTTAAATTGATAAGCCAATGAGCTGATAATCTAAGTCACTCATCTTGCAGTTTCCAAAGACTTGGTGGACAAATGTAAAACAGGAATTGGGGAGTATTTGGGTAGCTCAGTTGGTTAAGTATCTGCCCTTGGCTTGGGTCATGGTCCCAAAGTCCTAGGATGGAGCCCCGCATCAGGGTCCCTGCTCAGTGGGGAGTCTGCTTCTCCCTCTACCTCTGTACTCTCTCTCTTAGATAGATAGATAGATAGATAGATAGATAGATAGATAGATAGATAAAATCATTAAAAAAATAAAATAAAACAGGAATTGGGTTTTTATACTGGAAGATTTCAGGGTAACTTCTGATCACTGAATAGAACTGACCTATTTCAGAGTACTTCCAAGGAAAATGATAGACGGCATAGAAGACGGCACAGGTTTGGTAATGCACCGCAGCATTCCATAATGCTGACTGTACAAGAGGTTACCTGAGGAGCTTTCAAAAAAGCTAGACAACCCTTCATCCCCACAGAATATGGCTTTAATGGTTCAGGGATGAACTGGGCATCAATCATTTCTAAAAAGCTCTCCTGTGAGAGTTCTCCTGTGTGTGGTCAGGATTTAGAACCACTGACCGAAGTACCATTTAGAACATTCAATAATGGAGCAAAATTGGTAGATCTAATTCCAAGAATCCACTTACTAAAGACATTTCAATGGGACTTTCAGGATTTGGGATATGTTAAAATCTCTGTGGCAGAGAGCCACAGGGCACTATGGGAGGCAGGAAAGCCTAGGTTTGATGACTGGTTCTACCTCAAACTGCACTGCATTTCAACAAGATACTTCCTTAAGCCTGTATTACCTGAAAAATACTTCACAGGGTTTTTTGTTTTTGTTTGTTTTTTTAGGAAATCAAATAGTCAACATAGTATCTAGCCTGGAACCTAGGTCTTAGCAAGTTTGAGAGGTTGAAAAATGATTGCCCCAAAAGATATCTATGTCCAATTCCTAGAATCTGCGAATGTTACCTGAAAAAAGGATCTTTTCTGATGTGATTCAGGACCAGGAGATGAGATCATCCTGGATTATCGAGATATGCCCTACATCCTATGCTGAGGGTCCTCATAAGAGAGGTAGAGGGAGGTTTGAGACAGATGCACAGACGAGAAGACACCCACGGGGAGAAGGCAATGTGAAGACAGAGGCAAGATTGGGGCAATGTGGTCACAAGCTAAGGAATACCATGAACTGCTCCAGCAACCAGAAAGAAGCAAGGGAAGTCATGGACCCGATTCTATCTGCAGAAGGAACCAACCCTAGCAAATGAATATGGTAGAAATTCAATGAATGCTGGCTCACTTCATGATCAGGACAGAACAAGAAGCTCTGGAAAAGAAGCATTTGGAATCATTTTCAAGTGGATGTCAAGCCCTTCTATGGAGAGTCTAAAGATTTTTCTAGAGCAGAATAAACACTCAAACACAGAGAAAAACAAACCAGGGGTGCCAGTAGTCCTTCTCTGGGCTTTCTTTCCCAGGGAGACCAGGATGGGCTTCAGAGGCATGACCCCCAACAAAATACCTATGTGTGCCCACCAGAGGGGCTAAAGGCTGAGTATGCCAAGTGATGGCAAGGATGTGGAATCAGCAGAACTCTCACACACTGCTATGGGTACAGAAAATGGAAAACAGTATTTTCTTCAAATGGCAAACATACACCTAACATGTTACCTAGCCATGCCACGCCTAGGCATTTACCCAAGAGAAATGAAAACATATGTCCACACAAAGACTTGCACTGAATTTTCCTAGCAGCTTCATTGTAACACCCACCCCCACATAGAAACAGATCCAAAGGGATCCCTGGGTGGCGCAGCGGTTTGGCGCCTGCCTTTGGCCCAGGGCGCGATCCTGGAGACCCGGGATCGAATCCCACATCGGGCTCCCGGTGCATGGAGCCTGCTTCTCCCTCTGCCTGTGTCTCTGCCTCTCTCTCTCTCTCTGTATGACTATCGTAAATAAATAAAAAAAATTTAAAAAAAAAAGAAACAGATCCAAAGCCCATCAACAGGTGAATAAACAATGAAATACTGATCATTAATGAAAAGAAACCATTTACTGATGCCTTTAACAATGTGGATGAATATCAAAACCATTATTTTGAGTTTAATAAACCAGATACAAAAGAGTATCTCCTGTATTATTCCACTGATAGAAATGTTTTGAAAATAAAAGATGTCTATAATGGCAGAATGCAGATGAATGGTTGCCCAGAGAAAGAGGGGTGTGGGGGGAGCCAGGAGGGATGGGAAGCAAAGATGCACAAAGCAACTTTTGGAGTGATGGAAACATTAGTGCCTTCTTAGTGGCTGGGATTTCATGAGTCTACAAATTTGTTAAAACTCTTCAAAGTGTGTATTTTAAAAATGTGCAATTCATTGCTTGTGACCTATGTTTCAATAAAGTTGTTAGAAGGGAAATATTAGCATCCACCTCTGGGAGAGCAAGTAGGCCAATTGAAAGGCCATTGGGAATCCAACCCTTGATGCCTGAAAGGCATCATAGAAGAAAAGGTGTTCTGGATTCAGTGTAAGCAGAAGGACAGTGAAAGTTGACATGTTTTAGAATGTTCCATAATCACAATTTAAATGAATAACGGAGCAGTGTGAAGAAACACAGGATTTTCTCATTTCAATTAGGCCCTCAAATTTCAGTGTCAGGAGGCTTCCTGTGTGTTGCTCAAGTCTGCTCCCTGTTGCTTGGAGAGGATGCTAGTGATGGATTTATCTTCTCTGGGGAAAATGCCCTCTACTGCTGCTGTGTTTTTGTTTGTTTGTTTTTGTTTTGTTTTTATTCATGAGAGACAGAGAGAGGCAGAGACATAGGCAGAGGGAGAAGCAGGCTCCCTGTGGGGAGTCTGATGGGGACTTGATTCCGGAACCTCCGGATCACGTTCTGAGCCAAAGGCAGATACTCAACCACTGAGCTACTCAGGCATCCACTGTTTCTGTTAAATATGCCTCTCTTTCAGGGCTCAGACTGACCTTGGGGTTGGGGAGCATTCGCCTGCCTCCTGGGCCTGGGTAAAAGAAAGGCCAGAGGATGACTACTAGTGTCCTCTGAGTGGATGGCTTGCCCTCTGTGCTCGGTGCTTATCCTGTTCCAGAAAACATCGTTAGACACCCCCCCCCCCCCGCAAGAGGACTTGGCCTTAGCTATCTTTAAACATAGAAGAACAGTTGTTTTCCACCTTAAAACTGGATATGCTTGGGGCGCCTGAGTGGCTCCATAGGTTGCACATGCCACTCTTGATTTTGGCTCAAGTCATGATCTCAGGGTCATTGGATCGAGTCCCAGTTAAGGGCTCTGCTGTCAGCATGAAATCTGCTTGAGGTTTCTCCCTCTCCTTCTCCCTCTGTTTCCCACCCCCCACACACTCTCTCTCTCTTTATCCCTCAAATGAATAAATAGATCTTTAAAAAATACTAAAACAGGACATGCTTATAAAGGAAGTTGAAAGTATTGGAAATTGGGAATAAAGGAAAATATCTCTTGCTAGCCTTACCATTCAAATATAAATATAGATACTTTCAATGTTTTTCCTCTCATATTTCTAGTTAAGTGTTTTTACAAAAACAATCATCATTATACTACACACACAGCTTTATTTCCTGCTTCTTTTATTGTTACCTTCTGGTGACTTTCCTGTGTATTATACAAACTTCATAAATATTATCTTTAATGGCTGCATAATATTTCATGAGCGGATATGCCACTGTTAATCATGGCCCTGTTAGCAGAGAGTGTGAAAAACAATTAGATGGTGATTTCACACAGACAGATTTCACTCAAGATATAAAAGGAAGAAGCCTAATGTTGGACCTACTTGACGAGTAGGTCTCAGATTGCACTTCAAGCTGAGTTATTAGTTGGTGACCCTGAAAATGTGCCATTACTTCATTATGACCTTTCACTTGCCCAGCCATAAGTCATCCATCCATGAGGCTTTTAAAAGATTCCTTCCACCTTTAAGATCCTGGGATTCTCTGATCTACCCTACTAAACCAAAGTGCCTGATTTTGGCCATCCAAGTTTCTTACCCATCCATTCATTCTTCGTATTTTATATTGATTTGATTTTAAGTCATCAGAGTTCAGCTGAGCTCCATAGGCCTTCAATAAACATTCACTTCCACAGATCAAAATAGGAAGAAAAACAATTTATTTAAATTCCTTCATTTATAGACATAGTATTTTATTATTTTTTGATTGGAGTTCAATTTGCCAACATATAGCCTAACACCCAGTGCTCATCCCATCAAATGCCTCCCTCAGTGCCCATCACCCAGCCCAACCCCCCACCCACCTCCCTTTCCACCATCTCTTGTTCGTTTCCCAGTGTTAGGTGTCTCTCATGTTCTGTCATAAGTATTTTAAAAGATTTGACTTGTTTTCTACACATTCACGTAGGATAGTTCTAATTCATTTCATGTCACACCATTGACAATGACCAAAATTAACAACGAGTCTCAATTTCAACAGTGACATAGAAATCAGACAACGTACAAGACCAGGTGAACAAGGACATGGGAAAAAATGCACATCTTATTAATATCTACAATTAAAATGAATCTTCAGGCTTGGAAAGGCTCCTCTGAGTTAGATGGAGCTCACTGGATTCCTTCCATACATAACAACTTTGAATTTGCAAGATTGTACACCTCCAAAAATAATGGCAGAGACTCCTGCCTGGCTGCTGGAGCCCGATAAACAACTCCATTAATTAAAAGGTGCAAGTCATTAGCATATGTTACTACTATTACCATGTACTTCTCTTTAATGTAACTTACATTTGCTTCATTATGCCCAGTTAACTTTGTGCTTCTTCTGAGCCTTTTTAAAAAACTTAGCAGTTTCTATTTTACATTTACTGAATAATATTGTTATAGAGTAAGGGTAATTTATTTCTATTTGAGGACAAATCCAATCTTAACAATTTAATTACCACTTAAAGACATTTAAGATGCACAGCAAATAATGTTTCAAAAGCAAAAACATAAAAAAAAAAACAAAAGCAAAAACATTAGTGCTTAGAAATATAAAATCAGTGCATACAAAATGACTATTTAACCAGTATTCCCAAGTGATAGTGCTATATAGTGGATAAAAACTTGATCTAGAATATCACATAGTGGCTAGAACAATAATACTAAAAAAGAATATAAGAAAATATAACAGACACAAAATGATGGTATGTCCTTGATGGTCCTCCACAGAAAAAAATGAGGGATGTAGGAAACAAAATAAAAATACAATTTCCCCAATTGTTTTATAATATTTAACAAAACATTTTGGCAAACTGTTTCCCTGAAATGGAATTATATTTAGCATAAAAATACAATCACCTCATTTTTAGTCTTCATCTTTTTTTTTTTAATGAAAGAAGCTTTAGAAAATTGAATTAATTAAATTACTATGAAAGTATATATACTTTCTTTCAATCCTGGAAATTATTTTAGGTTAGCAGAATCCTAAGAAGATCACCATTCATAATTTACATAAGTTCACCAAACTTTAAACAAGAGCCTTCTTAACTTTGCCAACAGAGTTTTACTTTATAAAGAAAATTACATTTGAGTTAGTTTAAATGATCAGAAAGTGTAATCTATTGCTTTTTCAAGATGTTAAAAGAAAAAAATATTTTGGCTGCTCTGAGGGCTTGGAAATGTCTTTCTTTGCTACAAAAAGCACAGTATGTCTCATTCAATTATTGAAGATACCTTAGGGTAGGAATTCATTCAATCAGGAGAAGTCAATAAGAGAGTGGAGAACCCATTCATTCAGTTCATTCATTTAATATTTGTATGAAGTGCTCCCTATGTGCCAGGCATAGGAGGAAAAATAGTAATTATCGATTCTTAGATCACAATCAGATGCTCCTGAAAAGTCACCATAAAGACTTCCTGGACACTCCCCTCTAAATTTTAATTCTCATAAATAATTTTAGCAATTGCTTTCACACATGTAACATATCCCTCCATATATGTCATCAGTAATTGTTTACAGAGAGTCTCCCATGTGCAAAGAGTTGGGGAATACTCATAGATAAACAAATTACCTACCATCAAAGTGCTTAACAGTTGGCAGGCAAGGGAGACAATGTTACTAATAACAACAGTCATGGAGGGTAAAAAGGGCTAAGTGTGTATGAGGATTTGCCAAAGCTCAGAGGAGGAAGAAATTACTTCTGTTTGGGGATTGGATTATAATTACTTGTTAGATTTTCTTTCTTCCCTGCTGTAGTGTAAGCTCTGTGAAATCAGGGCATGGGAGTGTCTGTCTTAGTTGAATCCTCAAGAATGAATGCATACCTGACACAGACTAGGTGTGCAAGAATATTTGTCTAATGAATAATAAATGACTTGGCATTTCACTTAGGTTGTAAAAGATTATGATTCAGTTAAATGGACAGGGAGGAGGTAGGGGGCATTCCTGATGAGGGAAGAGTGAACCGGAGGGGAAGCACAGGTGCACAGTACGGCTTTACCTTTCCAGGTTGAATTAGTCAGGGTAATTAACACGGGTGCTGCAATAGAAAAATCCTAACTCTCAAGGTCTTAATACAATCATGTTTTATTTCTCTCTCAGGTCAGCACTTATGTGGGTTGGGCGTCCTCTCTCCTTATTTTGTAGCTACACTATTTGGAATACATTCCTCCAAGGTTGTCACAGGAGGGGAAGAAAGGGATGGAGGAGCTACCCCAGGTCTGAACTGCCTTAGCCTTTGCACACAGTCAATTAGAACTAATCCTGTGGCCAATCTAAGCTTAAGGGAGGCTGGGCATATGGGGAAGGGCAGAGAATATTTAGTGAGCACTATCTCTCTGCCATGTAAGTCTGTGTTTATCTGCATATTGCTTGTGTGTGTGTTTTCATTTATATAATTTTCATTTGTCCCCATTTCCTCTAGCCTTTTCCAAATCACAAATTAAAACTCTTACTTTCTTTGT